CAGACGTTCACGCTTCCGGCCTCTCCGCAGCAGAATGGGGTTGCTGAGCGCCGTATTGGCTTAGTCATGGAGGTCGCTCGTACCTCCATGATCCATGCGGCTGCCCCCCATTTTCTGTGGCCGTTTGCGGATCGGTACGCCGCGCATCAGCTCAACCTCTGGCCCCGTGTCTCCGTGCCGGAGACTTCGCCCACACTGCGCTGGACGGGGGAGGTTGGCGATGCGTCGCGTTTCCGAGTCTGGGGTGCACGTGCCTTTGTTCGCGATACCACTGCGGACAAGCTCTCCCCTCGCGCCATTCCCTGCGTCTTCCTTGGCTTTGTCCCTGACGCGCCTGGGTGGCAGTTTTACGACCCCGCCTTGCGCCGTGTCTTTCCGTCTCAGGACGTCACCTTTGACGATTCAGTCCCCTTTTACCGTCTCTTTCCCTACCGCACTGCCCCTCGCCCCCCCCCCCCCGCCGCTCTTTCTCGCTCCAGGTCCTCCCCAGGTAGACCCCCTCCCCGCGCCAGGTCCTGCTCCTTCAGGTGTTTCTCAGGTAGACCCTCCCGTGCCTGCGCCTGCTGAGGTCACTGGTGACTCAGGTCCTGCTTGGGGTGGTCCTACTCGGGGTGCTGTCTCTGAGGGTGCTGAGCCTGAGGGTGCGGAGCCTGAGCGTGAGGAGCCTGGGGGTACTGAGCCTGGGGGTGCGGAGCCTGTGCGTGAGGAGCCTTGGGGTGCTAAGCCTGGGGGTACGGAGCCTGGGGGTGCTGAGCCTGAGCGTGAGGAGCCTGGAGGTGCTGAGCCTGAGCGTGAGGAGGCTGGAGGTCCTACGCCTGGGGGTGCTGCGTCTTGGGGTGCTGAGCCTGAGCGTGAGGAGCCTTGGGGGTGCTGAGTCTGGGGGTGCGGCGCCTGAGGGTACTGAGACTGCTGGTGCGCGGTCTCCTTGGAGAGGCCGCCTTCGTCCGCGTGCGCCTCTCTCCCCTCAGCAGCTGCACGAGTGGTACGCTAGCCGTCAGGGTTGCGATGCTGGAGCTCGGGGCTCTGCAGCTGGGAGTGGTGCTGTACTTTGTCTACAGGAGGTGCTGGAGTCGCTGGTTCCGGAGGTGTTCGTACTGGAGGTACTGGAGCTGCTGGGGCTGGCGGTGCTGAGTCTGGGGGTGCTGCTGCTCGAGACCCTAGGGCTGGAGGTGCCGGTTCTGGGGGTACTGCTGCTGGTGACGCTGGTACGGGAGGTGCTGGAGCTGGAGGTTCTGGAGCTGCTAGTGACGCTGGTACTGGACGTGCTGGCGCTGGAGGTTCTGGGGCTGCCGGTGACACTGGTACTGGAGGTGCTGGCGCTGGAGGTTCTGGAGCTGGTGGTGGTGCTGGCGCTTGAGGAGCTAGAGCTGGAGTTTCTGGAGCTGCTGGAGGTGCTGGAGCTGCTGGTGGTACTGGAGGTGCTGGTGGTGCTGGAGCTGTTGGTGGTGCTGGAGCTGCTGGTGGTGCTGGAGCTGCTGGTGGTGGCGCTGCGCAGCCACGACTGTTCTTTGCTCCGCCGTCTCCGTAGTCTCTGCCACCGCCTGACTCCGTGCTTCGCCAGGTTTTTAGCCTCTCGTCGTCTACTGGTCTTCCGTTACAGCCTGGCTCACCGCTACCTGCTCCTTCTCCTTACACTGAGCAGCCCGGAGGTCTTGCTGAGCGTCGTGAGCCTGCGTCGCGTCCTGTCTCGCCTTTCCACACTGGTCGTCGTGTTCCTCGTCCGCGTCCGACGACTGTCCCTGGCACACACCTCATGGCTCTGCGTCCGTCCTCTGCTCCGCAGTGTGTTCCTCTGCCGTTTCCTCCTGCGTCTTCTCTGCCTGTCGTTGCTGACCCTGAGTCTGACCGGTTTCGTGCTGAGCACCCTACTGTCATGCGTCTGCTAGCCACTGTTGTCACTGACCCGTCGTTTGAGTCTGCTGCTGCGCCTGCCTTCGTCGCTGAGCTTGTTGACTTTGCTGCTGCCTGTCGTCTAGACTACGCCGCTAGTCTTGTTGCTGAGTCTGAGTCTGTCTGTCCTCCGTCCGTCGGGGGTGAGTGTGCTCTTGGCACGGACGTCCTTGAGGACAGGCAGGAGGACCTTGAGTGTCTTGCAGCCGCTGCGCCTCATCTCGTGGCCATGCTGCTTGCCCCTGAGGGAGACCCGGATGCTCCAGACATCCCGACCCCGCGCTCTTACACTGAGGCAATCGCGGGTGAGTACTCCTCTCAGTGGCAGACAGCCATGGATGCAGAGATGGCATCCTGGAAGTCCACAGGCACTTACGTTGACGAGGTTCCCCCTCCTGGGGCGAACATCGTCGATGGCATTTGGATTTTCAGGGTGAAGCAGCCGCCAGGTTCTCCGCCTGTCTTCAAGGCTCGTTACGTTGCACGAGGTTTTAGTGAGCGAGAGGGAGTTGACTTCTTCCAGACCTTCTCTCCCACCCTGAAGATGGCCACTCTTTGGGTGCTGCTGCACGTTGCCGCTCAGCGTGATTACGAGCTTCACTCTCTTGACTTCAGCACAGCTTTCTTACAGGGCAGCCTGCACGAGGAGCTGCGCCGTCCGCCTGGCTTCACTGGGTCGTTCCCTCCTGGTACCCAATGGAGCCTCCGTCGGCCGGTCTACGGTCTCCGCCAGGCGCCACGTGAGTGGCACGACACACTGAGGACGACACTTGCGGCTCTTGGGTTTGCTCCGTCCACTGCTGACCCGTCGCTGTTTCTGCGCACCGACACTTCGCTACCGCCGTCCTACATCCTCGTGTACGTCGACGACTTGGTCTTTGCCACTGCTGACACTGAGGCTCTCGCCCTTGTGAAGTCGGAGCTGCAGAAGAGACACACGTGCACAGACCTGGGTGAGCTGCGCAGTTACCTTGGCTTGCAGATCACCCGGGACAGAGCACGCCGCACCATCACACTGACTCAGTCACACATGGTGCAGCAGGTCCTTCAGCGCTTCGGCTTCACCTGGTCCTCGGCACAGGCCACTCCTCTAGCTACAGGTCACTCGCTCTCAGCTCCACCTTCGGACGAGTCCGTAGAGCCGAGTGGTCCTTACCCAGAGCTAGTGGACTGCCTCATGTACGTGCACTCGTCCTGACCTTGCGTACCCTCTTGGCCTTCTGGCTCGCTACGTGGCTCCTGGTCGGCACGGAAAGGTGCACATGGATGTTGCTAAGAGGGTACTACGCTACTTGTGCAGTACATCGGGCATGGGGCTTGTGCTTGGAGGACGGGGCGACGTTGTCCTCACTGGGCACTCAGACGCTTCTTGGGTTGACGACCAGGCTACGCAGCGGTCATCACAGGGTTACACCTTCAGCCTTGGCTCTGGTTCAGTTTCTTGGCGTTCTACACGCTCGTCTTCAGTTCTCAGCTCCAGTTGTGAGGCTGAGATCTACGCCACAGCCATGGCTGCACATGAGTTATGCTGGCTCACCTACCTGCTGACCGACTTGGGAGAGCGGCCTCGTTCTCCTCCAGTGCTGTATGTCGACAACAAGGCCGCCATTGCCTTGTGTTAGGAGCACAGACTGGAGCACAGAACGAAGCACATCGCTCTGCGTTACTTCCTGGCTCGAGAGCTGCAGCAGCGTGGTCAGCTTCGTCTTGCTCACGTAGCCACTCGAGCCAACGCTGCTGATATATTCACCAAGGCACTTCTGTCTGATGATCATCAGCGTTCCTGCACTTTGTTAGGCCTTGTGCCCACGTTTCCTCACTTGCTGTATACTTTGCTTGTACTGTGATCTATATATATACCTGCCTTCTTGCTCTGCTAGGTAGAGATCACTGTGATGTTGTTGTTGCATATATACCTCTGCTTGTGAACTGGTCTTGTGGCCTTTTGCTTGTGCTCAGTGTGTGTGGTGACGTTGTGATCCACCCTGAGCTTGCTTTGCTTCTCTTGATCTTGTGACCCCTTGCTCTCCCCCACTTTGCCTATGGGGGTGTGTCAGATTATATGCATGATATATATGGTTAGGCTGTAGTGTGGTAGCCAATATGGGGTACAGCCCCGTTTAGGGTTTTCATACATGTACCCAACTCTTTCATAGTGCATTCATTCCTGCTTGTAGATTCTGACAAACTCTTCTAATCTTGTGTTCTAAGACTAAAGTGGCTGCCATAGTGCCGTTCGGTCAAACCGACAGTGTGTCGTCAATACTTGGTGAAATCGTGCGATCTAAGGGTACATTCCGCGCTGGACATGTCCCAATCGAAAGTGTCCCAATCGTTTCTACCGCACTGCATCGTATTACACCAAATTGCACCCTAGTTTCGAAATTTTCGCGTCTCTGGTTTAGTTCGGTTCGGAGCGGTACACTCGATTGGGACACATCGATTGGGACAGTGTCCACAGCGGAATGTACCCTAAGTTGCCTATTATAGGTGACGTTAAGACGCTCTAGATCCAAGTTGAATCAGGTCATTTGAAGCTATGAACAGAACGTTATGAACGTTTAAAGCCACTCTGCAGAAATCAGACTTTGCACTCTGTCTTTCGTTTTAGGCACATTTGAGCCTACTGTGACTGAAAGAGTCTCTAGGATCACCTCATGAAGGTTCGCACACGATTGAGTAGTAGTGGTGGGTCCTTGACCTCAATAGCAGAGTGAATGTAAAATGCTTGAGTGAGATGATAAAAACATGCAAATACAGGAATTACATATAGAAGTACATAATGGGGTACATTCCCTTATTACAGTGAAATCCAACTGTGCGACTCCGGGTGGTTACGAAACCGTTCGGGCAGAACCCTTGCCACTGCTGCTGCCTGATGTTGTCTCCTCTAAGGATCCAAATCCTTCGTAACAGTATGACCCTTCGCGTTACTTCCGCCCTTTCGACTTCAGGCCAAATCCTTCGTAACTGAAGTCGAAAGGGCGGCCGAATCCTTCGTAACTGTATACATATATGGATAGGACCATATATGTATACCATCCGATCCGAGTGACGACGCATTATATTTGACCTTCAATGGCCTATAGGTCAACAGTACCAAAACTCCTTCACCCTACACCTGCGGAGCTCAAATTCAACTGCTGTAGAAGGTGTGTTGACGGTGATAACCATCTGCGGAGAAAGGTGTTGTTGAGGTTAACCCTGTGGCTGGTAATGTCCTCCTCAAACCCACGGGTCCCTCCGCATATGACGGACCCAGCCAAGAAGATGTGGGCATGTGCACACAGCAGCTTGTCCACTATGGCCACGATGCCTGCATGGACGGAAAGGAGAGCATGGAGGAACAGAGCAAAGGGGGTGCTAGGTAGGGGGTGAGGGTTGGCATGGGCCCATGGCCAAAGGAGCAGCTGCTGGAGAAAGGATAAGAGGAGTAGAACAAAGTCCCTGACAGGCAGAGGTTTCCACAGAGCAGCAGCCCAAGCAGCCATCCAATCCCGCCGACAAAGCAGCCACCCAGGCACAAGCCACCAACTCAGCGAAGCAGCATGCACTCACCGGGGTCGTACTGGTTTATGGCAGGCAGCAGCTCATCCACCGTCACCGTCCCCTCCACCTGCTCCCTCAGCCACCCAAACAGCATGCTCTCACCCAATCAACCACGCACCCAGGTTTTCACCAACCCAAGTAACCACCCACCCAAGTAGCCACCCACCCAAATAGCCACCCACCCAAGCCACCCACCCGGACAGTCACCCAACCAGGTAGCCACCCACCCAGCTATCCACCCAACCAAGCAGCCAGCAACTGAGCGAGGCAGCATGCACTGACCGGGGTCGTACTGGTCGATGGCGGGCAGCAGCTCGTCCACCATCACCGTGCCCTCCACCTGCTCCCTCAACCACCGCAGCTTCTCCCGCGGGGCCTGCAGCGCCCTCTCCTGCCGGTCAAACATCCACGTGGTGGCTTTCCACGAGTCCGACCGCACCACGCTGCCCGCCCTCTCATCAAGCGGCACGTCGGCGGCGATGAAGACGGCGGAGATGTGGTGGCGGCGCTTCATGCCGTTGATGAGGTCGCGTGCCGCCTCCATGCACCCTGTCATCAGCTCGTCCAGCACGCCTGCCTCCGCCTTCAGGCCTTGTTGCGCTAGCTTGTGCACCTGCAGTGCAGGGTGGGTGAGGTGGGATTAGGGCAGCAGGGAGATGCGAATTTGAATGCTTTGTGAGTCATTTTGGGTCTGCGAAAAAACCAAATACTTTCAAATAGCACGTCGACTTCATGCGAATTTTCAAATATTTTGGGACTGCATCCAAATATTTCCAGCCGGCCATGAGTTCACGAGGTGGAAGGCGATGAAATCACGAGGTGGAAGGCGATGAACTCACGAGGTGGAAGGCGATGAACTCACGAGGTGGAAGGCGATGAACTCACGAGGTGGAAGGCGATGAACTCACGAGGTGGAAGGCGATGAACTCACGAGGTGGAAGGCGATGAACTCACGAGGTGGAAGGCGATGAACTCACGAGGTGGAAGGCGATGAACTCACGAGGTGGAAGGCGATGAACTCACGAGGTGGAAGGCGATGAACTCACGAGGTGGAAGGCGATGAACTCACGAGGTGGAAGGCGATGAACTCACGAGGTGGAAGGCGATGAACTCACGAGGTGGAAGGCGATGAACTCACGAGGTGGAAGGCGATGAACTCACGAGGTGGAAGGCGATGAACTCACGAGGTGGAAGGCGATGAACTCACGAGGTGGAAGGCGATGAACTCACGAGGTGGAAGGCGATGAACTCACGAGGTGGAAGGCGATGAACTCACGAGGTGGAAGGCGATGAACTCACGAGGTGGAAGTCGATGAACTCACGAGGTGGAAGGCGATGAACTAACGAGGTGGAAAGCGATGAACTCACGAGGTGGAAGGCGATGAACTCGGCGATGAACTCACGAGGTGGAAGGCGATGAACTCGGATCGGTAGTGCACTGCAATGTACCGAGGGGGCAGGCGGGCCATGGCTTGATGCGCCATGGCGTGCCACGCCTGGCTGTATGGAAGCATCTGGAGAGAAATGGCGTTGGTGGGAGGGTGGAAGGGCACCCGGTGGAACGTGCTCTTCACCCACACCAGCACGTCCGTGTGCCGCCTGCAGCCGTGGATCGCACAGGCGATGAAGAGGAAGGCAGAAAGGAAGACCATTCGTTTGTGGAAGGGAAGGTTGATGTGCTGCCGCACCTGCTAAAAACGCGTTCTTGTGCTTGCTAAGATGGTTGCAATTATGTGTACAATGGCAGCAGGTCATACGTCTCAATCAAATGCCAACTCATGCTGCATGGCAAGCTCCAGGAAGTCAGAAAAATGCCAGTTAAGCCATCTCTTTCTTGGAGGCAATCTGGCTTCATGGCAGTCAGCATGGAGTGACGATACGCACCACTTATACAACATGTGGAGAATCGCACTGTTGTTGGCCGGCATCAAGACATCAACAGTGTTGTGCTTCGCCGGCGCGTGGCCCATGCCATACACCATCAGCTCACTCAGCATGTCCACCAGCGGCCCTGCACACACCAAGACGCAACAAACATAGTTTGTTTTGGCATTTCCGGAACAATTGTCATATGGAATGAAACGGATGATGAATGAGAGGTGAGAAGAGCACGACTAGGACACTCGTGGGACATGCTTCGGGCACTGCTAGCTACTAACGCTGACTGAAGGGCCTGCGCCATGTTTGGTTCGCCTGCACATGCAGAAAGGCCACGGAAGGGCCGGCGGCAGGTGCAGCAGCAGAAGAAACAGGGGGGATGAGAGCCACCCTAGCAAGAAGCAGGAAGAGCTCTGGTGAGATCCAGTGGGCGTCGAGGCGAGAGAGGTCGAAGTAGGTGCACAGCGGCAGGGCGCGGTCGAGTGAGAGGCGGCTGTGACTGGCCTGCCATGGGTGCCATGTGGGGAGAAGAGGGATAAAGGAGTAGGGAAGAAAGAGAGAGGGGGACAGGGGGAAAATGGAGAGAGTGGGAGGAGAGGGAAGGGGCAGAGGGTAGAGGGGGAGAGGGATCAGCGGAAGTGGGGTTTCGGAAGATAGCAAAGAGGAGGGGGGTTCCACAGAGAGGAAGGGGGGAAGCAGAAGAAGCAGGCGAGAGCAGAGAGTTATCCAATGTGGCGAGGAATTTGCATCGTGCAGAGGAATTTGCATCGTGCAGAGAAGCATGCGCCAAAACGGGGGTTATTCAGAGCCGTGCAGTTGACTTAAAAACCCCTTCTTAAACCCTTTTTGAGCCCCAAAGCGGTACAGGCAGTGGTACCTTGGGCAGCACGAGCGTGCGGTTGGTGGCTTGCGCCACCCGGGCGGCCTCTGCGAGGTGAGAGCGCGTGTTGGACAGCTGCTCCTCCGAGTACGCAAAGACGAGCAACTTGCGCGCCCTGACGGACTGGGGATGCAATGGAGGGGGGGGGGGGAGGCGGAGGGGGGGAACAGGGATTCGGACCAAGGTTATCTTCAGAGTTGTCAATCGTAATGCAGTGGGCTGGGGGAAATGGATTGGAGAGAGCGGGAAATGGGGGCAGGATTGGGAGGCGGGTGGTGAAGGAAAGCAATGAGAGACACTTGTTGGAGTGGGGAAAGTGGGGAAGCTTGCGTGTTCAAATAGAAATGCGGAGGAAGACATTAGGGTGAGGGAAAAGGAGGGAGGATAGGGAAGGAGATCGGCGCACCATCGCATCGGCGAACGGCATGTGTGGCACAGGCCAGCACGCCTCAGGCCACGTGCCGCACTTTGCTGCTGCTTCTCCTTCTCCTGCTCCTCCTCCTGCTCCTGCTCCTTCTCCTTCTCCTGCGCCTGCGCCTGCGCCTGCTCCTGTTGCTCCTCCTGCTTCATCTGCTAGCACCTTCCCACCCTCGCCACCCGCGCTACCCTGGTGGCTGCACTCGCCGACCAGCCGGGCTTCTACCTCGCGCACCCCGCGGCACACAGCATCCACGCCCGCTTCTATCCGCGCCAGCGACGTCACGTTGCGCCTCACTGCCCTCCCCACGAACACACTCGCCGCAGCTCGCGCTAGCGCCGCCCGCCGCCAAGCCGCGGAGCACAGCAGCGCGGAGGAATCTGGGGCGGCAGCAGGCGCGGAAACAGGAGTAGTAGCATCAACAGCAGCAACAACGGCAGCAGAAGGAAGCGCAGGAGCAACAGCAGAAAGTGCAGTAGCCGCAGCAGAAACAACAGCTGCATCCGCAGGAGGAACAGGAACAGAAGCAGAAGCAGCAGGAGCAGCAGCAGGAGGAGGAAAAGCAGCACTGTCGGCGGAACTAGGGCGGTTATCAGGAGTGCTCTCAGCGGGGCTGTAAACTTCGTGGCGTGTGCGCTGAGAAAGGCGGCTCCGCAGCTCCCAGTCGGCCTCGGCTTCTCTCCGCCTCGCTTCCGCCGCCCACTGCTGCAGCGCGTCCCGCAGCTCCGCTCTGCACGCGGCGGCGCGGCGCTCATGCGGCGGAGTCACGGCCGGCCCGTGGTCGTTCAAGGCCTCCACGCAGCCGGCGCTCATCATGAGAGGCATGAGATCGGCACACGGAGGAGCGTGAGGCGCGGAAAGGTCACTGGCGCTACTAGCAAGTGAAGCACAACTGGCACTGCCAGTGGCACCAGTGTTGGTTACTAGCAGGGGTACCGGAGGGGCCGCCTCTCTGAGTTGGCGGTAGCATACTCGAATGAGGCACGAGAGGAGGAGCAGAACCGCGAACGCGCGCACTAGTGTTCGTTCTACGGTGGCAGTAAGACGTCTCGGGACAATATAAAAGCCATAATTGCCCACCTTGATTCCCGCAGCACTCATCACTCATAGCAAAGAATAGATCATGCACCAACAGAGCTTTCCTGCATACGTGCAAGCGGGAGTTTACTCCGTTAGCTAAGCTATGTTGCTAGCACTAGTAGCTGGTTGAACTGCTGCTAGTAGATGCAGATCTGAAAGGGGTGATTGGACGGAACGGAATTCGCGAGGAAGGCTTGGTGCCACCAGTGCTGGGCAACATGGAATAGGAAAAGGAATATATTAAGATCGTAATCAGTTACATACAAAACACAGAATAACTGAGAATACGGCTAAGCAAGCCAACGACCGTTTGGCGTACGTGGTTGAACACGTTATTCTCCTACCCTAGCGGACAGCCACCAGCTTTGCTGGGGAGTATTCTGTGACGAACCGAGAACCAGGTTAGGGCGGACGAAAGGGGTTTCCAAGCAGCCAAGAGGCGCGTAGGTCCGGATGGATTGTGGGGGAGCCATCAGCATCAAAAGATATGAATCGTAGCCGGCTAGCCGCCTGAACGCGAGATGCTGTTTTCTGTTGCTTCTTGGCAGATTGTTTAGAGCGTCTCCAGAGGAAAATTTTGAAGGCTAAGAGTTGCAGGATCTCAAATCGGGAGGTAACAACGTTGTTGGATCTCTGAGCACAATGGGCGTTCCAGAGGGCCTTGGCAGCAGCACCGACCAGTAGGCTCCACGGGGCAGTCCGGCCAGATCGAGAAGGAAGCGGAAAGAAGATGTGTTCGGTCGGAGGGCTGCAACCCAAGTGGCGTCGAGCAACGGATCCCAGAGCAGCTGTCACAGTGGGGGCCGCTCCACAAGTGAAGATGTGAGAAATAGTCTCGATGACGTGGGACTGGCAGCGCGAGCATCGGCCCCTATCTGTTGAGAACAGGAACCGGGAGCCTGAAGGGAGAGAGCGAGTATAAAATCGGAAGAGTAGATCGCGTTGCAGGCTGGGCTGTTCGCGAAGAAAGTCGTGGGAGAGGTCGGGGAGAGGAATGGGTAAGGGGGAGGAAAGGGCGTGGGTCCAACGGGTGTCGTGGTCGAGCGGTCGTCGCGTGTATAGTAGTTGTCGAATAGCAGATAGGCTTGGGACGCCATCACGAAGAACCTCCAGCCACGCGCCAAGTCCTGCACCTGTATGCAGCGGACCAGCCACCCAATGACCTTGAGTGTGGACCGCCACGACATCTTTAATGTGGAAGGTACTAGAGCCGAGAGGGGTGCGCTCAAAGAAACCGTTGGGAATCACCCGATGAAGGGTGGCAGAGAGCGAGAAAGGGGGGATGATGTTAGAATGAGGAATGAATGCACTAAGAAACAGGTGGGTACAAGTAGGAAAACCTAAAAGTGTTGTACCCCATATTGTCTACCCCACTACAGCCTACACAGACTATAGCATATAAGTTTGACACACCCCCATAGGCAAAGTGGGGGAGAACAAGAGGTCACAAGACCAGTCAAGCAAAACAAAGCAAGCTCAGGGTGGATCACAACGTCACCACACATTCCGAGCACAAGTTCAAGGCCACAAGGCCAGTTCACATGCAAGATCATATATAAAGGTAAACAAGCAAGGGCAGGTATAGAAAGATCACAGTACAAGCAAGGTCAAGAAGTCAGCAAGTGAGGCCAAGTAGGCACAAGACCTAGCATCGTACAGCAACGCTGATGTTCACAAGGCGGAAGTGCCTTGGTAAAGATATCAGCAGTGTTGGCCTCAGAGGCCACATAAGCAAGGCGCAGCTGACCACGCTGCTGCAGCTCACGAGCAAGGAAGTAGCGAAGAGCAATGTGCTTCGTTCTGTGCTCCAGTCTGTGCTCCCGACACAAGGCCAGCATGGCCTTGTTGTCTACGTACAGAACTGGAGGAGAACGAGGCGGCTCTCCTAGGTCAGTTAGCAGGTAGGTGAGCCAGCGTAGCTCCTGTGCAGCCATGGCCCCCGCGTAGATCTCAGCCTCACAGCTGGAGCCGAGAACAGAAGACGAGCGGGTAGACCGCCACGAAACAGAGCCGGAACCAAGGCTGAAGGTGTAACCCTGTGACGACCGCTGCGTAGCCTGGTCGTCAGCCCAAGAAGCGTCTGCGTGACCTGTGAGGACCACTGAACGCCGCCCTCCAAGCACTAGCCCCATGCCCGACGTACTGCACAAGTAGCGCAACACCCTCTTCGCTGCAGCCATGTGCTCTGGTCGGTGTCTCCCAGGAGCAACATAGCGTGCCAAGATGCTAAGAGGGTATGCAAGGTCAGGTCGAGTGCAGGTCATCAGGTACATGAGGCAGCCAACAAGCTCTGGGTACGGGCCACTCGGCTCTACGGACTCATCCGAAGGCAGAGCTGAGAGCAAGTGGCGAGTAGACAGAGGAGTGGCCTGAATCGAGGAGTACGTGAAGTCGAAGCGCTGAAGGACCTGCTGCACCATGTGTGACTGAGTCAGGGTAATGGTGCGCTGTGCTCTGTCCCGGGTGATCTGCAAGCCAAGGTAGCTGCGCAGTTCACCCAGGTCTGTGCACGTGTGTCTCTTCTGCAGCTCGGACTTCACGTGGGCGAGTCCAGCAGTGTCAGCAGAGGCAAAGACCAAGTCGTCGACGTACACGAGGATGTAGAACGGCGGCAAAGAGGTGTCGGTGCGCAGAAACAGCGACGGGTCGGCAGTAGAAGGAGCAAACCCAAGAGCCGCAAGTGTAGTCCTCAGTGTGTCGTGCCACTCACGGGGCGCCTGGCGGAGACCGTAGACTGGCCGCCGGAGGCTCCACTGGGTACCAGGAGGAAACGACCCAGTGAAGCCAGGTGGGCGGCGCAGCCAGATCTCCTCGTGCAGGCTGCCCTGCAAGAAAGCTGTGCTGAAGTCAAGAGAGTGAAGCTCGTATTCGCGCTGAGCGGCTATGTTCAGCAGCACCCGAAGAGTGGTCATCTTCGGGGTGGGAGAGAAGGTCTGAAAGTAGTCAACTCCCTGCCGCTGACTGAAGCCTTGAGCCACGTAACGCGCCTTGAAGACAGGCGGAGAACCCGGCGGCCGCTTCACCCTGAAAATCCACATGCCACTGACGATGTTCGCCCCAGGTGGGGGAACCTCGTCGACGTAGGTGCCTGTGGACTTCCAGGAAGCCATCTCTGCGTCCATGGCTGACTGCCACTGAGAGGAGTAGGGACCCTCTATCGCCTCTGCGTAAGAGCGCGGAGTCGGGATGTCTGGTGCATCCGGGTCTCCCTCAGGGGCAATCAGCATGGACACGAGATGAGGCAAAGCAGCAGCAAAACACTGGAACTCCTCCTGCCTGTCCTCAAGGACGTCCGTGCTAAGAGCACACTCACCCCCGACGGACGGAGGACAGACAGACGCAGACTCAGCAACAAGACTAGCGGCGTAGTCCAAGCGACAGCGAGCAGCAAAGTCGACAAGCTCAGCAACTAAGGCAGACGCAGCAGTGGACTCAAAAGAAGGGTCAGTGACAACAGTAGCCAGGAGACGCGTGACAGTAGGACTGGCAGCACGAAGAGAGTCAGACTCCGGGTCAGCAAGAGTAGGAAGAGAGGACTCTGGAGGAGACGGCAACGGGACACGCAGAGGAGCAGTGGAAGGACGCAGTGCCATCTGGTGTGTGCCCGGGACGGCAGGAGGACGCGGACGCGGAACACGACCACTAGTACGAGCAGCACGAACAGGCGACGCAGGACGAGACGCAGGCTCACGACGCTCAGCAAGACCTCCAGTAGGACCAGTGTAGGGAGAGGGAGCAGGCAGTGGGGAGGCGGGCTGTAACTGTGACCGCGACTGGTCAGGCTGTGGACACTCTAAGGGAGGAGCAGGACCAGTAGAAGGCGGGAGACCAAGAACCTGCTCAAGGAGGGGAACGAAGTACGGCCGCGGCCGCGCAGCGCCTCCAGAAACAGCAGGGACAGCACCAGTACCCCCAGCGGCAGCACCAGCGCCAGCAGCACCTCCAGCTCCAACACCCCCAGCAGCTCCAGCTCCAGCAGCTCCAGCAGCACCTACTCCAGCAGGACCGCCAGCTCCAGCACCGCCAGCAGCTCCAGCACCAGAAGCACCTCCAGGCCCAGCAGCTCCAGTACCCCCAGCAGCACCAGTAGCTCCAGTACCTCCAGCAGCACCAGCAGCACCTCCAGCAGGACCAGCGCTAACAGCTCCAGCAGCACCCCCAGTCCCAGCAGCTCCAGTACCGCCAGTACGAGCACCTCCAGGACCAGAGGCTCCAGCACCTCCAGCGCCGACCCCAGGGCCAGCAGCAACACCAACTCCAGTAGGCTCAGCGCTCTCAGCTCCAGCTCTAGCAGCGCCACGGAGGCTGCGACAGTACCGAGAGTACCACTCACGCAGCTGCTGGGAAGAGAGAGCGCCCCCAGGCGCAGCACCCCCAGGCTCAGGACCTCCAGACCCAGCACCACCAGGGACAGCACCCCCAGGCTCAGCACCTGCAGTCTCTGCACCCCCAGGCTCAGCACCCGCAGTCTCCGCACCCCCAGGCTCAGCACCCCCAGTCTCCGCACCCCCAGGCTCAGCACCCCCAGGCTCAGTACCTCCAGACCCAGCACCACCAGGCTCAGCACGCTCAGTACCTCGCGCAGGACCATAGTCGACAGCTACCTCGACAGGCTCGACCGGGTCTACCTGGGAAACACCTGAGGGAGCAGGAACCTGGGGAGGCAAGGGGTCTACCAAGGCAGCACCTGGCGTGAGGAAGAGCGGCGGAGGGGGGAGCGGGGCAGTGCGGTAGGGGAAGAGACG